TGCGGCAGCTGTTGCGACTGAGGCGTCTGAATGAGTGTCCACTTCTGCTAATGGCTGCTAGATAAATCCAGAATGCGTCGGCACATGCCGTGAGTCAGTAACCGGTCAGTTGGTGTTTGGGGGCCAGCCCCGTCCTCCACACGGCTATATTTATCTCCTCAGACAGGAAATCCCTAACGAGACTCAGAGAGCCTGTGATTTCATAAAACAGCAGAAAAGGAGACGTTCAGCTCTGTAGTGTCTTTATTTACAGAGCAGAGAAACAGAGGCTGTTTCTTTCATAGCGTGTAGCCACACCGTACACCGAGAACCTTTTCGGCTCTTTAACGTTGTATAAGTATTTGGTCACAGAGATGTAAGACGTTTCATGCGAGTTCACTGTGGCTGGTTGTTAAACCAATTTAGACCATGTTTGGTGTTAGTCTGGGTAGGTTAGTGTGTTGTCCTCCCGCCGCCCCCAGTTAGAATGCGTATCATTGTGCTAAAAACAGTCGGCAATCGGTATCAACCTCACCAAACACTGACCGGTCCATCTCTACAGACTGCAGGAGCAACTATGACCTCTGATTTGCAAGACGGCGTTAGAGTTAAAAGGCCCGTATCCTACGTTTCCTGCATTTCCTACATTTCCCATAACCATTATGAGATTTGTGTGGTTTTATGAACCAAAAACAGTCATAATTTATTTTCCAGCCTCTCTTTCTTTAACAGGCTGTTTTTGTTACTGCACCTTTAAGACTGGAATATGTAAATAAGCTCCATTTAGAAATTTACAAAAGAAGTCTGGGCTGAAACACTCCTTATAACTTTATAACTCCTTACAACTATAACGCCCATTCAGCCTACAACAATTTAGCCCCACCCATTCAGCTACAGCAGTTTAGCCCCACCCATTCAGCCTACAGCAGTTTAGCCCCACCCATTCAGCTACAGCAGTTTAGCCCCACCCATTCAGCCTACAGCAGTTTAGCCCCACCCATTCAGCTACGGCAGTGTAGCCCCACCCATTCAGCTACGGCAGTTTAGCCCCACCCATTCAGCCTACAGCAGTTTAGCCCCACCCATTCAGCTACAGCAGTTTAGCCCCACCCATTCAGCCTACAGCAGTTTAGACCCGCCCATTCAGCCTACGGCAGTTTAGCCCCACCTATTCAGCCTACAGCAGTTTAGCTCCACCCATTCAGCTACAGCAGTTTAGCTCCACCCATTCAGACTGGAAAATGATCATGTAGAAATGAGTTATGACTGTTTTTGGTACATAAAACCACACCAACGTCATAGGTGGCTACAGCAAATGCAGGAAATGCAGGATACTTGTCTTTTAACTCTAACGCCGTCTTCCACCTCAGAGCTCATGGTTGCTCCTGCAGTCTGTAGAGATGGACCGGTCAGTGTTTGGAATTGAGACCAATTACCGACTGTCTTTCCTCACAAGAAGCTGTTGCCGATTCTGATCGGGGGCGGGGGCGGGGCGACGACTCACTGAACTACGGCGACAAAAACACCAAACGTGGTTTAAATTGGTTTAATAACCAAAACACTGCAGTGAAACAGCTCCGTGGCCAAAACTCACACGGCATTAAACCATTTTCAATCATATTTCCACACACAGACAGCAGGAAATAGGAAATGTCTCCTTTCAGTGCACTGAGAGAAATCTGGCTCACATATTTTGCACCACTGCTCTCACTTTAGGCCATACTGAGCAATCACTCATCACCTATTTACAGCCGCTCAGTCTTTCCATCTGTTATAGTTTGCTTGCTTGTTTTAATGCTCAGAACTCTGAGCGCAGTCTCAGTGTGAACACACCTCCTGACATCTACACATCAGACTATAATTAAGCTATAAATACGCTGGTTTGGGTGGCGGATCTCTGAGTACCACACCACTCTGCACAGTGCACGCTCGCGCCGACAGAGCCGAAAGACAAAAACGATCAATTCTACTGATCCGTTTCATGGGCAGCTATCGATAAATACAAATAATCTGTCTTTTCTCAGAAAATAAAGTTTAAAAACCACATGAGAACTGTGCAGAACCTCACGTTAATAGTTATGATTATGATTATTATTATTATTATTATTATTATTACTCCAGTAGCGAGTGTTTGGTTACAATCCACGTTCACGGAGTCATTTATCTCAGTTACACTCACAGAAGTCATTTTCCCCAAACGCTTTAAATGGTTTTGTCGGATTGTTATCATGGAATGGGAGTAGAAATGAAGCGGATGCTCACGCCACATTAGCCTTCCCTACTTTTGCAATATTTAGAGAGCAATATTTAAAACAATAATAATAATAACAGTAATAATAATTATTGTAACAAAATAACATGCATTCCAGCACATGTGGTGCTTGGACCCCTAATAATAGTGAGTGCATGTTTGGGTCATTCTCACAAAACAGCCGCAAACTGTGTCCATAAATCATAAACAATAAACAATATTCTTAAGATATAGCAGATCAAAGGGAGCTCTACATGGTAAAGTAATTGTTGCCCTGATTCGAATTAATGCAATGTCGGTTTCTCATTATACATATATATGGGTCATTGATATGACAGGCACGTTTTGTGGCCATTATTTTCCCAAAAAATATTTTAATATATGCACGACAAATATCACATTATTCAACAATACCTCTTTTATGTGAAACAATTTTCAGTGCATCCATATAAAATTCATTTTAGCTTCTTTTTGCCTCCAAAAGTCTAAAAACATCTGTCCAATCATGTACATTGATAAAGAAAACTATCAAGGTTTTAAAAGGTATTTTAGCTATAAAATTCAGAATTAAACAGTTTGATTTTATGTTTGAAAACTTTAAAATAAAAAACCATGTTGCAAAATTAGGCATCTTTAAAAGTGCGGAACTCAGTGAAAATCTTAGCTCCTCAAATGTCAGGTGGCACAACCAAAAACAAAGGGCTTTTATTTTAACAAACTTTTATGAAAGAGGGGCCAGGGTACTGCACCATAAAGAAGACCCCCAGTGACCTTCATGGTGCAATGCCAAGGTCACAGATTTAGTAAAAGTGTGATGTTTGAGTCGCAGTTAGAACGGTTCCGTTTACCATGTCAGGTGGTCTGACCTCAGGAGAACCATGAAAATGTGGAATTATTATAATAATGTTTATTTATTTGAAACCATGTCAAGTTGAAGGACAGAGGTTTCTATAGGTGCCCAAGCAGATGCCTGTTTAATTTGAAATTAGTCTGAAAAGTCAGGCGGCGCAACCAGTCAGTCAGATGGTGCAACCAGACCAGCACAGTTTAATAACTGAAATAGACAATTAAAAGATTTGATAACACTCACTGTATTTAAGATAGAAAATATGCTGATATAAATGCAAATATATATGCAGATATAAAAACATTATGTATTCTTTTTCAATACGGTTTTTTTTTGTCATTGACCCATATATATATATATATTTTTTTGAGAGAGAGCTTGTATGACATTTATTTATAAAGAATGTTATAAATACATAAATATACATTTACAGAAACAAAAAAATCCATCAAAATAATTAAATAATTCATTACAATACAGCCAATCAGAAGAGAGCTCATTTGCCTATATCAGTCTTACAGACACAGTAACAAAAATAGCCATTTATCTCTAAGAGATAAAGAGAGGTTGGAAAATAATCATGAATAAATGAATTATGACAGTTTTTGGCATCAATTAAACAAATTTAATCATCCAAGCTTACTTTTAACTATTGAACCAGGCATCAGTATTCATACATCCTAAAATATCTCCATAAAAATAAAACATCTGTTCTAGTTTTCAGGCTGTTTCACTCTTTTCAGGTTGGCTTCCAGTACTTGTCATCCAGTGTGTTCGGCGTAAGATGGCGTGAGTACTGTAAATTACTCCGAGCTCTGTGCGGCGCAGAGCGTCTCTGCCGTGCTGAATGGTAATGCACATTACTTAAGGAACACAGCACACGGCCCAAATCTCTGCTGAAGGAGAGCATAGAGCCCAGCAGCCTCCACTGCACTGGAAATCTATTCAGTGACAGCAAAGGTACCAGAGACCCACAGCAGATCCGGGCCTAATCGCTATTGCAGTGCCGGTCTGGCCTGAGCGACGACATGTTCCAAACGGCAATATAATACGTTTTATTCAGAGTGAGACAACTGCATGAAAACACCCCAGACACACGATAAATCAATAACCAGGCTCCTCTGCAAATAATACCCATTTCCATGAACGTCAGGAGCTTTCCAGGAACAGACAGAAAACCTCCTGAAGGTTCTACTTTTTCAGAGTCTTATTTTAACCCTGTCGCACGACACTATCAGAGCTCATCCGTACGGTTCCACCACACAAGAACCGCGACATGAAGCCATTTAGGCAACTGTTCAAAATAATAATGATAAACGTTCTGAACGTTACAGTAATGTGAGAGTAGTACAGAGCCAGATGTGCCTGTTTCAGAGTCTGCATGTTCAAGATCTGCAGTAGCTGCGCCGTTTCAGTGAATGTTGCATTTTATTACAGTGAGCCGAATCAGAGTAAGAGCAGAACCTCTAGAGCTCCAATCAGAGCAAGAGCAGAACCTCTAGAGCTCCAATCAGAGCAAGAGCAGAACCTCTAGAGCTCCAATAAGAGCAAGAGCAGAACCTCTAGAGCTCCATTTAGAGTGGGAACCTCTAGAGCTCCAATCAGAGCAAGAGCAGAACATCTAGAGCTCCAATTAGAGTGAGAGCAGAACCTCTAGAGCTCCAATTAGAGTGAGAGCAGAACCTCTAGAGCTCCAATAAGAGCGAGAGCAGAACCTCTAGAGCTCCAATTAAAACGAGAGCAAAACCTCTATAACTCCAATTAGAGTGAAAAGCTCTAGAATGTCAAATAAAGTTAGAGCAGAACCTCTAGAGCTCCAATTTAAACAAAAGTAGAACCTCTAGGGTTCTAATTGAAACGAGAGCAGAAGCTCTAGAGCTCCAAACAGAGCAAGAGCAGAACCTTTAGATGAGTCCAGCTTACCTCTGTCTGGAAGCCCTTTAACAGTGGAGTGATCTGTTTACGCAGGTCCTGCAGGAAAAACACAACACAAACACAAAAACAATCCCTTAGACATGGTAATGATACTTACTAATGAATAAATACATAAACACAGACATACACTGCATGGACAAAAGTATTGGGACACCTGCACATCACACCTACTGGAGCTTTTATGACTCCCATTCTAAATCCATAGGCATTAATATGGAGTCGGTCCCCCTTTGCAGCTCTAACAGCTTCCACTCTTCTGGGAAGCTTCTACAAGATTTTGGAGAGTGTCTGTGGGAATTTCTGCTCATTCATCCAGAAGAGCATTAGTGAGGTCAGACACTGATGTTGGACGAGAGAATCTCCGTTCTAGTTCATCCCAAAGGTGTTGGATGGGGTTGGGGTTACAATCGTCCAAAATGTCTTGGTGCTGAAGCATTAAGATTCCCCTTCACTGGAACTAAGCGTTCTAGACCAACCCCTGAAAAACAGCCCCATATCATCATCCCTCCTCCACCAAACTCTACAGCTGGCACAGTGCAGTCAGGCAGGTAACGTTCTCCTGGCATTCGCCAAACCCAGACTCGTCCATCAGACTGACAGATAGAGAAGCTGATTGGTCTCTCCACAGAATACGTTTCCACTGCTCCAGAGTCCAGTGGCGGCGCCTCACTCCACTCCAGCCGACGCTTGGCATTGTGCAGTTTGATCTTAGGCTTGTGTGCAGCTGCTGGAGCTCTGTAGTGAGTGATTCAACAGTGGATCAGCACTGTGCGCTTTTGTTGTTGCTCCTAGATGCTTCCATTTCACAATAAAAGCACTTCCAGTTGTCTGGGGCAGATCTAGCTGGACAGAAACCTCACAAACTGACTTGAGGCAGAGGCGGCATCCTATGACAGAGCCATGTTTAAAGCCCCTGAGCTCTTCAGTGTGACCCTCTACTGCCAGTGTTTGTCTGTGGAGACTGCAAGACTATGTGCTTGACTTTATACAGCTGTTAGGAATGGGTGTGGCTGAAAGAGGGGTGTCCCAATACTTTTGTCCATATAGTGTGTGTATATACAGCAGTAACAAACACGGCAACCATCAGAAGGATTCCTCTGTTCAGAGTGTGATGATTACAGTAGGTTATTAATGCAGTGATGTAGGAAACGTCCTGTAAGTCAGTGTGATGTTTTATGTAAATGAGCTGTTGTTGACAGACGGTGCTCTCAGTCCAGATGGAGGGAAAACAAGAGAAAGAAAGAAAAAAAGAACAAATATATTTAAATGTAGATTTAGATTTATCAGATGTCCTGAGGCACACACACACTAACACACACACTAACACACACACACACACTAACACACACACACACACACACACACTAACACACACACTAACACACACACACACACTAACACACACACACACACACACTAACACACACACACACACTAACACACACACTAACACACACACACACACACACACACACACACTAACACACACACTAACACACACACACACACTAACACACACACACACACACTAACACACACACACACACTAACACACACACACACACACTAACACACACACACACACTAACACACACACTAACACACACACACACACTAACACACACACTAACACACACACACACACACACACACTAACACACACACACACACTAACACACACACACACACACACACACTAACACACACACACACACACTAACACACACACACACACACACTAACACACACACACACAATAACACACACACTAACACACACACACACACACACACTAACACACACACACACACACACACTAACACACACACACACACACACACTAACACACTAACACACTAACACACACACACACACACACACTAACACACATACACACACATACACACACACTAACACACACACACACACACACACTAACACATACACTAACACACACACACACTAACACACACACACACACACTAACACACTAACACACACACTAACACACACACACACACTAACACACACACACACACACACACACACACTAACACACACTAACACACACACACACACACACACACACTAACACACACACACACTAACACACATACACACACACACACACACTAACACACACACACACACACACTAACACACTAACACACACACACACACACTCACACACTAACACACACTAACACACACACACACACACACACACACTACACACACACACACACACTAACACACACACACACACACACACACACACTCACACACACACACACACACTCACACATACACAATCACAACAGGATCTGATCTCACCTCCCACAGGAGAAGGACAGACTACGCTTAAAGGAGAGAGAGAGCATACATTTATCTCTCTCTCTCTCTCTCTTTCCATTTTCTCTTTCTGTTTTTGTCTCTTTCACTTTCTTCTTTCCCTTTTTTACCTTTTCTCTCTCACTCGTTCTTTCTCTCTTTCTCTTTCATTTCTCTTTCACTTTCTTTCTCCCTTTCTGTTTCTCTCTCCTTCTTTCTCTCCCTTTCTTTACTTCCTTTCTCTTTCTCATTTCTTGCTTTCTTTCTTGCTTTATTTTTGCTCTCTCTCTCTTTATTTCCTATCTCACTCTCTTTTTGCTCTCTCTCTTTCGTCTTTACTTTCTCTTTTCTCTTGGAACTCTCTCTCTCAATTTCCTCTTTCTTTGCTCTCTCTTTTCTCTATCTCTTTTTATTGCTCTGTCTCTTTATTTTCTGTCGCCCTCTCTCTCTCCCTCTCTCTTTCCTTTTTTAAACCCTTTCTCTCTCACTCCCCATTTCTCTTTCTGCTCTCCTTTTCCAGTTTCTTTCTTTTGTCTCTCTCTCTTTCACTTTCTTTCTCCCTTTCTGTTTCTATCTCCTTCTTTCTCTTTCTTTACTTCCTTTCTCTTTCTAATTTCTCTATTTCTTTCTTGCTTTATTTTCTCTCTTTCTTTGTTTTCTCCCTTTCTCTTTTCTCTTTCTTCTAGCTCTCACTTTTTATTTTCTCTCTCTTTCTCTTTTGTCTCTCTACCTTGTTTTTTGCTCTCTCTATTTCCTGTCTCTCTGTCTTTATTTCCCCTCTCTCTCTCCCTCTCTCTCTCTCTCTCTCTGCCCTCGTTTTCCGCTGCCTGTGTTCTGTATGACTCAGTCCACTCTGCTTAAAAACCCATTCATGCACAAACAGCGTTAAATAAATAAATAAATAAATAAATAAATAATCGGAGTGAGCTCACGGCCGCCGCACCGCTGCATATGTATGTTCCTCTCAGTCGTTTTCACAGAAAACGCCGTTCGGTCAGTTCCAGAAAACGGGCACTTTTACAGGAGGCTATTTTTACACCATGATGTAAACATGACAGACCAAAGCTGCAGAAACGTCACTCTTTAAAAAGCCTGAAATCAAATACAAACACTGAGTCGAGTCTCTGAAACAGCCTCCGTCCGCGAGGCAGACTCTTTCTTCAGGAAGCTCTTACAGTAAAGAGCCGAGCTATTAAAGGACATCAGATTAGGCTGGATATAAACGCTGCTTTGATTCGGGACTCAGAGCAGCGTTTAACACCAAATCACATTAAACAGGCCAGGAATAAACCGCACACCTAACAGCCCCTCGCACCCGCGCCGCACAACAGCCCCTCGCACCCGCACCGCACAACAGCCCCTCACACCGCACAACAGCCCCTCGCACCCGCACCGCACAACAGCCCCTCGCACCCACACCGCACAACAGCCCCTCACACCGCACAACAGCCCCTCACACCCGCACAACAGCCCCTCACACCGCACAACAGCCCCTCACACCCGCACAACAGCCCCTCGCACCCACACCGCACAACAGCCCCTCACACCGCACAACAGCCCCTCACACCCGCACAACAGCCCCTCGCACCCACACCGCACAACAGCCCCTCGCACCCACACCGCACAACAGCCCCTCGCACCCACACCACACAACAGCCCCTCGCACCCGCACCGCACAACAGCCCCTCACACCACACAACAGCCCCTCGCACCGCACAACAGCCCCTCGCACCCGCACCGCACAACAGCCCCTCACACCACACAACAGCCCCTCACACCGCACAACAGCCCCTCACACCACACAACAGCCCCTCGCACCCACACCACACAACAGCCCCTCACACCGCACAACAGCCCCTCGCACCCACACCGCACAACAGCCCCTCGCACCCGCACCGCACAACAGCCCCTCACACTCACACCGGGTAAAGGAACGCTGAACACGCTCACACACACACACACACAGTTACACACACACAGTTACACACACACAGTTACACACACACACAGTTACACACACACAGTTACACACACACACAGTTACACACACACACTCTAAGTTCTGTAAGTTCTGTATCTGAAAAAGGGAGCAAGATTATTATTACAACCTTTACTCTTTTACTGTACTGTCTCTCTCTCTCTCTCTCTCTCTCTCTCTCTTCCTGTCTTTTTCTCTGCTCTCTCTCTCTCTCCCTCTCTCTCTCCCTCTCTCTCTCTCTCTGTCTCTTTCTCTGCTCTCTCTCTCCTCTCTTCTCTCACTTCTCTCTTCCCCCTCTCTCTTGTGCGGTGGTCATGGTGATGAGCTCCAGTGGTCAGTGATGTGACGACAGGACATAGAGGAGATTCCCATGTTTTGTGTGTGTGTCTGTGTGTGTGTGTGTGTGTGTGTGTGTGTGCGTGTGAGTGTGTGAGTGTAAAAGGAGCCCCACCGCACAACCCCGCCCCCCCCCCGCTACCCCGGCAGCTCTGGCTGCTGTTCAGCAGAACTGATTCTGCTCAGGGAGCCACAAGAACACGAGGAAACATCTCACAACATCTGGATTCAACATAACACTCACACACACTTCCCTGCCAAAGGAGACCCCCCCCAACACACCCCCTCCCCGGCCCCCCGCAGAACTGCAGCGGCTACAGTCCAAAAACTCTATCACTCAATATGACTACACTCATTTACACAGTCCAGAGAGACAGACAGAGAGAGAGAC